CAAGGAAATAAGAGAGGACACAAACAGATGGAGAAACATTCCATGTTCATGGTTAGGAAGAATCAATATCGTGAAAATGGCCATACTGCCCAAAGTAATTTGTAGATTCAATGCTATTCCCATCAAGCTACCAATGACCTTCTTCACAGAACTGGAAAAAACCACCTTACACTTCATATGGAACCAAAAGAGAGCCCACATACCCAAGTCAATTCTAAGCAAAAAGAACAAAGCCAGAGGCATTATGGTACCTGACTTCAAACTATACTACAAGGCTACAGTATTCAAAACAGCATGGTACTGGTACCAAAACAGAGATATAGACCAATGGAACAGAACAGAGGACTCGGAGGCAATGCCACACATCTACAACCATCTGATCTTTGACAGACCTCACAAAAACAAGCAATGGGGAAAGGATTCCCTGTTTAATAAATGGTGTTGGGATAACTGGCTAGCCATGTGCAGAAAACAGAAACTGGACCCCTTCCTGACACCTTACACTAAAATTTACTCCAGATGGATTAAAGACTTAAACATAAGACCTAACACCATAAAAACCCTAGAAGAGAACCTATGCAAAACCTTTCAGGGCATAGGCATAGGCAAGGACTTCATGACTAAAACCCCAAAAGCATTGGCAACAAAAGGAAAACAGACAAATGGGATCTAATTAAACTCCAGAGCTTCTGTACAGCAAAAGAAATAATCATTAGAGTGAACCGGCAACCAATAGAATGGGAAAAAATTTTTGCAATCTACCCATCTGACAAAGGGTTAATATCCAGAGTCTAAAGAGCTAAAACAAATTTACAAGAAAAAAACAAACCAACTCAAAATGGGTGAAACATATGAACAGACACTTTTCAAAAGAAGACATATATGAGGCCAATAAACATATGAAAAAATGCTCATCATCACTAGTCATTAGAGAGATGCAAATCAAAACTACATTGAGATACCATCTCATGCCAGTTAGAATGGCGATCATTAAAAAATCCGGAGACAACAGATGCTGGAGAGGATGTGGAGAAATAGGAACACTTTTACATTGTTGGTGGAAGTGTAAATTAGTTCAACCATTGTGGAAGACAGTGTGGCGATTCCTCAATGACCTAGACATAGAAATTCCATTTGACCCAGCAATCCCACTACTGGGTATATATCCAAAGGATTATAAATCATTCTATTATAAGGACACGTGCACATGAATGTTCATTGTGGCACTGTTTACAATAGCAAAGACTTAGAACCAACCCAAATGCCCACTGATGATAGACTGGACAGGGAAAATGTGGCACATATACACCATGGAATACTATGCAGCCATAAAAAACGATGAGTTCGTGTCCTTTGTAGGGACATGGATGAACCAGGAAACCATCATTCTCAGCAAACTGACACAAGAACAGAAAATCAAACACCGCATGTTCTAACTCATAGGCGGGTGTTGAACAATGAGAACACATGGACACAGGGAGGGGAGCATCACACACTGAGGTCTGTTGGGGAGAACTAGGGGAGGGACAGCAGGGAGTGGGGAGTTGGGGAGGGATAACATGGGGAGAAATGCCAGATATAGGTGACAGGGAGGAAGGCAGCAAACCACATTGCCGTGTATGTACCTATGCAACAATCCTGCATGTTCTTCACATGTACCCCAAAACCTAAAACACAATAAAATATTAAAAAAAGAACAAAAGGTGCCAAGGAAAGGAGAATAAAGAGATAGAAAGAACCTGGGTACTGGCTGCTATCCCAGGACCCAGCTGAATTAACCACATTCAGAATTGCTTTACTGCTAGACTTGGTTATGTGAAATAATAAACACCTTATTTTCAAAACCAAAAAAAAAAAAAAAAATTCCTGAGACTAGGCAATTTACAAAAAGAAGAGGTGTAATTGAACTCACAGTTCCACGTGGCTGGGGAGGCCTCACAATCATAACGGAAGGCAGAGAGGAACAAGTCACATCTTACGTGGAAGGCAGCAGGCAAAGAGAGGACTTGTGCAGGCAAACTCTCATTTTTTTTTTCCTAGATGAAGTCTCACTCTTGTTGCCCAAGCTGGAGTGCAATGGTACAATCTGGGCTTACTGCAACCTCCACCTCCTGGGTTCAAGTGATTCTTCTGCCTCAGTCTCCTGAGTAGCTGCGATTACAGGCACCTGCCACCATACCCAGCTAATTTTTGTATTTTTAGTAGAGATGGATTTCACCATGTTGGCCAGGCTGATCTTGAACTCCTGACCTCAGGTGATCCACCCACCTAGCCTCCCAAAGTGCTGGGATTACAGGCATGAGCCACAGCATCCAGCCCAAACTCTCATTTTTTTAAAGCCATCAGATTTCATGAGATCTATTTACTATCACAAGAACAGCATGGGAGAGACCCACCCCCATAATTCAATCACCTTCCATTGGTTACTCCCATGACATGTGGGAATTATGGGAGTTACAACTCAAGATGAGATTTGGATGAGGACACAGCCAAACCATATCACTGCTATCAACATTTGTGTGCAGATTTTTTAATTGAACATAGTTCCATTCTCTAGGATAAATGCCCAGTATGGATTGTTAGGTAGTATGATGTATATAGTTAACTTTTTAGGTAAATACAAAAGACTTTTCCAAAGTAGTTATACTATTTTACTTTCGTACTGTCAACGTATGAAAAATAGGGTTGCTCCAAACCTCTGCCAACATTCAAAACTATGATTTTTCTTTTTCTTTTTTTTTTTTTTTTAACCATTCTAAGAGGCGTGTAGTGATATCCCATAGTGGCTTCTTCTGAGGCCTTTTTCCTTGGCTTATTTATGCGACCGTCTCCCCTCTTCACATGGTCTTCTCTCTGTGTGTCTGGGTCCTAACCTCCTGTTCCTATAAGAACATCAGTCATATTCAATCTCACCAAACAGCCTCATTTTAACTTAATTCGCTCTGTAAACACCTTGTCTCCAAATACAGTGGTCTTCTGACATACTGGGGGTATGGACTTCAATATATGACTATTACAGAGACACTATTTAGCCCATTACAAGATCCTTAATAAATATTTTCTGAATGAATCTATTAAAAAACTTTTCTAAATATTTTAAATAATTTTTTATTCAAAAGGCATTCTTTAAATGACAGCTTGATTTAAATGTTGCATGTGGCACAAGAAGATAACTCATAAGAGATACCATTGTGAGTATATATACCAAATGAAAATAAATAAATAACAATTTTCATGAAGGGGAAGAAGGAAGAAGGATACTTACATGTGATTAACTCTTCACCTTTTAGAAGGGAAGTCGATTGATCCACTTGTTGATATTGACAAATTAAAAATAAAACTATAGAGGAGGGGCTTTGAGATGGCTGACTAGAGGCACTGGACACTAGCCTCCTCCACAAAGAAGAACCAAAATAGCAACTGGATTATCACCCTTCAAACAGAGCCTCTAAGAGAGAGAATGCTGGAATTCAGCAAAAAGGTGACAGAAAACACCTGAGGTATGAAAAGAGGGGGAGGCAAGTGGGAAAGCCCAACTGGGATCAGCTGGAAGCCCTGAGCAGCTCCCCAGTGTGGGGGAAGGGTCAGAGAGAGCTCTCCAGCAGTTTCAATCCCCATCATGAACTCCTGCAATCCTAGCCACCACCGGAGAGCCCCTCAACTGCCGTGGGCCCTAAGACTGGTATAGAGAGCCCCCTGGAGTCTGTGCTACAACACTACTCCAGAAAGAGAGCTCATGCGAGGTACCACACATTTCCTGGAGACCCCAACAGCTGCAGCATGGCACCATTCTGAGAGCCCAGACCCCATAAGACTGCATCCTGCTGGGGACCAACAGCTCCTGCATCACCACATTCCCCAGAGCCCCACCGACATCGTCCCATGTCCACCTGGCGCGCCACAGTGACCAACACTTCCTTAATAATCTTAATAAACTCCCCTTTATATATACATCTATCTAATTAGGTCTATCCCTCTAGAAAACCCTAACTAGGATGGGTGAGTGCGGGGCGGGCGTTGGGGAAGCCCCGGGCTCCCCTCGCCTGTGGTTGGAGGGAGGGGAAACGCCCCGAAGGTCCGGTCTGGGTAGCCCGCCACCCTGGGGGTCCACCCCTGTCCTCTGCGCGCGCAGGCTTCCCTGGCCCGGCAGCTGCGGGACCCGCCCAAGCGGCGCGCGCGGAATCAGTTCTCAACGTCGTCGGCTCCCGGATCTCCCGGTTGACGCGGGTGCTTGTCAGGCTGCTGGAGGACCTTTCCCGAAGGAGGCTGTGCCTTCATTCGGGCGCGCCCTTGGCTGGGGAGGCACCTCCCTCGTGCGCAGGAACCACAGGGGCGAGTAGAAGCCGGTGAGCCCGGGAGAGAGTGGGGTCCCTGCCTCCTGGGAGACTGGGATTTTGGCCTCCTCACCGCAGTACCCCTGACTGTGGAGCGTCAGAGACGGAATAGGACTTAGTGATCTTGTCCAACCCCCTCCCCGTTATTCACAGGTTGGGGAAATGGACGCCTGGAGAACAGAAATCCAGTTACCAAAATTGACTCCAATAGAGAGAACCTAGAGGAACAATGACAATGGAAGAAATTGGGAACATTATCAAAAAGCTATCATCCTGCCAAACTCCAGGCTCAGATGGTGTTACAGGTTTAAAAAAGTTCTTGAAAAAGAAAGATCTTAAGCAACATGATGGATTCAGAAGCTCATGATAAGAGGTCACCAATACTAACATCTTCAAAACAAGATATCTCACCGCATATTACAAACGTTGGTGAAATGAAGCATTACTTGTGTGGCTGCTGTGCCGCCTTCAGCAACATCGCAATCACATTTCCCATTCAGAAGGTCCTCTTTCGACAACAGCTGCATGGCATCAAAACCCGGGATGCAGTACTTCAGTTGAGAAAAGATGGATTTCGAAACTTGTATCGTGGAATGCTTCCCCCATTGATGCAGAAGACAACTACGCTTACACTTATGTTTGGTCTGTATGAGGATTTATCCTGCCTTCTCGACAAGCATGTCAGTGCTCCAGAGTTTGCAACCCGTGGCATGGCGGCAGTGCTTGCAGGGACAACAGAAGCGATTTTCACTCCGCTGGAAAGGGTTCATACATTGCTTCAAGACCACAAGCATCATGACAGATTTGCCAACACTTACCAGGCTTTCAAGGCACTGAAATGTCATGGAATTGGAGAGTATTATCGAGGCTTGGTGCCCATTCTTTTCTGGAATGGACTCAGCAATGTCTTTTTTTTCGGCCTTCGAGGTCCCATTAAGGAACATCTGCCTACCGCAACGACTCGCAGTGTTCATTTGGTCAATGACTTTATCTGTGGAGGTCTATTGGGTGCCATGACGGGATTCTTGTTTTATCCAATTAATGTTGTAAAAATTCGCATACAGTCTCAGATTGGTGGGGAATTTCAGTCTTTCCCCAAGGTTTTCCAAACAATCTGGCTGGAACGGGACAGAAAACTGATAAACCTTTTCAGAGGTGCTCATCTGAATTACCATCGGTCCCTTATCTCTTGGGGCATAATCAATGCAACTTATGAGTTCTTGTTAAAGGTTATAATAAAAAAAAAAATCAGTTAAGTGCCATTTAACAACTGAATGGACCTTCTGAGAAGAATGCAGTTTGGCCTCTTTCTTAATTGGCGAAATACAAGTTGGCGTCATAACTCCAGGCCACAGTGAGTGATAGACAAAGCTGTTTTCCCTAAGCATCAACAAAACAGAATAAAAGGTTCCAATAGGAAAATATAAGGGTTTTGTTGTTGTTTGTTTTGTTTTTTATCATCATCTAAGAGCTTTAGGCTAATTGCCTGGCAAATAACTGTCCATCTGATGGCCTTTGACAGGTGGTATTCTTTTTCTCAAACCATTCTTGAAATCTTCTGCATTGAAACGTAAGTGGCTGTGACCAGCCAGAGAGAAGGTCCTTAGGGGTGAGGGGCTTCTCAGGCTAAAGTAAGCCTGAGAGTAGTTATTGGAATAGCAAAGTAGTTATTCCATTGCTTGCTTCTCTGCCCTCAGGAACAGCTGCAGAGGATAGTCTTCATTAAGCTCAAGCATATGAGAAAGGGGCAGAACAGAGAAGAAAAGCAGCTTATTAGGTATAGGCTTTTAATAATAAATTGCTTGTATTCGTTTTGAAACTAAGCACCTATTGGATAGTCATTATAATATTTCTATTTAGATAGGGTAGATCAAGGAGCTATGAAAGTTCTCATTTTGCTTTCTAGGTTTGAAAGTTTTCTGTTTGATTCTGACTGTGGCCTTCAACCCTTCCAAAATATCCTTATGTTAATTTCACTTATTTCATTGCCAAAAGACGAAGGGGCTTAAATTTTGTTATGGGTGTTCCATTCTGTTAAGAAGTTTTCATATTAATTGCATATAGATAAAATTCTGTTTAGCTTGGTTTCTTTGAATTATTGGTGCCATCTCAGCCAAGGTCTGTGGTTGCTTTTCCCCTTGAGTAGGAGTTGGTCGTTTTCAAGCATCCTGTTCTCTTAAAACTCTCCTTTTAAAAAATAAACACTTCCATAACATTTTGTTTTAGAAGTCTATTAATGCAATCCCACTTTTTTCTCCTTAGTTTCTAAATGTTACGGGGATGGGGGGAGTCAGGATTGTTTTCACCCCACAGTGTTGGCTGTCTTTTATTTTACTCTTGGAAATAGAGACTCCATTAGGGTTTTGACATTTTGGGAACCCAGTGTTACCATTGTGTCAGTAAAACAATAAGACAGTTTGAGAGCACATGATCTAAATAAAGACATTTGAAGGGTTAGTTTGAATTCTAAAAGTAGGTAATAGCCAAATAGCATTCTTATCCCTTAACAGATGAAAACTTCTTTGTCAAAGGAATTGTAAATATGAAAATACTTTTTCCAGATAAAGCAAAATGACTCATCTGCCACTTCCAATTGACTAATGAAATATAAGAGACTCACTGAAAAAGTGGATTATGAATCTTAAAATCCTTTCTGTAAATACTACATAAAGATTGATTTCCAGCATCTGACATGACAGTAGGTTTCCTGTTAGCCAGTTTTTCTTCTTTCTGGGTAATTGCATGTCAATATGTGCATATACTGACCAAAATAAAATCAACTTGGTAGTTTATTTAAAGTTTCTGGGCAAATAGTCCATAAAAGCTGTTTACCTCTAAATGCAGTATAACTGGTTAAATACAGCGAACGGAACATCCTTCTTCCAGCTGTAAATGATGAAGCATATTAAACATTAGCCAGGCAGTAATGAAGCTAAATAGCCATACAGCAGCTCTGTCTGACAATGTTGTGCTGGATATTGTAGTTTACTTTCAAGGTGCAGATGTAAGGATTTAAAAATAATAATAATTTGGCACCAAATAAATATGAGTAGCATTCTTTGGTCTATTAGAGTCAGGATTTGAAGGGAGTTGTGTTTGAGAAATCAATGAATAAAGGCACCTTGGTGCCTGACCTCCTCATTTATATGTGTGACTCTGAGCACTCACAGGCGTGTCCAACTGCTCAGCACAGGGCAGGTGGGTTAGCCTGGCGTTATACCTTGACCCTGGGAATAGACACCATTGGGCCTTGGGTTTTGTTGGGCTTCCTTTTGTCTTTATATTCCATACAGGTGGTAGAAATCTGAGTTCTAAAGCACTTTTGTGAAATACAAGCTAAGTGAGAATTCGAAGGAAAATACTTGGTTTCTGCTGTCTCAAATAAGTGGCGTTTAAAAACAATTATTAATAAATATTTTAATGGTTTTAACTCAGTATTTTTTTAAATTTTTTGTCACTCTTTGCAGCTTTTGAAGACCAAATTGCAAATACATTACCAGGGATGGTTTTGTGTTGTCCTATAGACTTCTTAAATTTGATTTAAAAAATTCAACAGAGCTTATAACCAACAGCTTGGTCTGAACTTGAAGTCAAAATGTGTTGTTAATAATAGATTCTAACTATTGTTTTTACCTTCAGTGTGAACTAGCATGGTAATAATTTTGAAAAGGCAGGCCAGCTATGGTGGCTCACGCTTGTAATCCCAGCACTTTGGGAAGCTGAGGTGGGCAGATTACTTGAGGTCAGAAGTTCGAGACAAGCCTGACCAACACAGTGAAACCCCATCTCTACTAAAAACACAAAAAATTAGCTGGGCGTGTGGCACACACCTGTTATCCCAGCTACTCGGGAGGCTGGGGCAGGAGAATTGCTTGAACCTGGGAGGCAGAAGTTGCAGTGAACCGAGATCATGCCAGTGCCGCTGCACTCCAGCCTGGGCTACAGAGCAAGGCTCTATCTCAAAAAAAAGAAAAAGTTGAAAAGGCAAACATGATTGAATATCCGAAAGGCTTTAAATGTGGCCTTTTTGTTACATAGGTGGCACAAATGGCTCATGAGCACAGGACACTTATGGTCTTGTGTCTTATACTTCATGTCTGATACCACCAGAAATGTTACGAATTCTGTATTTAACACACTTAGAGTGGTAAGAGCCCTCAGAATTGCACCACAGAGTAAACACAACCTTTATATGGTGGCGAATATGTGTGTCCTTCTTGTCTCATTTGTGGTTGGGGACAAAATCAATGTTTTTGTCCAAATAGTCGATATTCATCTTAAGATGGTTGGCTGTATAATCACCGGCTATATTGTGAACTGTGCAATAAAACAGAATCGTGTGTGTATATGATTACCTTTGGATGCCTGAAATTCCCAAGCTCAGTTACAATATAATGCTCACTATAAGGCTATGCAAACATGTAAGGGAATAATGGTGGTTGATGGGATATATGAAATGGGATCTAGAGGGCTTTGAGTGAAGCTAATCATGTCGAACTAACACTGGTTCAGTGTAGATGAAGTAAAGTGAGGGGTATGCAGTCATAAAATGAAGGGTGGACAGGAGATTACACTTGAAGAAAGGATAATCACTCAGACTTGGTTTCTTTTAAATTAAAATATTTCTGTTCTCACGTGAAAATGTATATCAAAGACTTAAACATTCTCTTTTTTTTTTTTTTTTTTTTTTTTTTTTTTTTTTTTTTTTGG